CTTTCTATTCCACCAATGAAATCTATGATGAACTTTGATATTTGCAAAAGGCATGCCCCACAACAATTCAAAATGATCTTACTTTCATATCTAGATAGGACCATGACAAAGAGACAAAATTTTCTTTTTTCTAGAAAATGAAAGTAAAGATTCTCCCTAGAAATAAAGGGGAAAGAAAACAAAAGAGAATTCGCATGCACAAGCATAGGATATTCCTTCATATTGGAAATAAATAAACATAAATTTTAGTTGCAAAGGCGTGTTGTCATCTTACAAAACAGCATCAAACTAATTTGACTAAAATTAAACGCTCTATAAGCCAGTCAAAGTTGTTTGAAATATACATGATGTATCACAACAGAAATGTTGATAAGTCACTGCAGTTGAACAGATGCAGAATATAATGCAACGGGGTGAACAGCTAAAAAGAGATAGATAGATAGATAGATACCAGCCAAGATAAGCAAAAGCAACGGGCAAAACGAGGGCCTGGAATCCAACACCAGCGTTGAGGTTGTGGAATGCTGCATAGTGAGCATTTCCATTGCGAGACTCTGTGATTGGAAGCCAAGCATCTTGAGGGTTGAGCTTGGTAAGGTGTCCCACCTCCTCCAAGTAACCCTTCATGTTTACCAGCACTCTCTTCATTGGTGTACCTATTGGACTCAGAAACCTTGGTGATATGAACGAGGTTGGGGTCCATGATTTTCCTTCCTTTGAAGCCGCTCTTGGTGACCTCTGCCCCGACGGTGTCAGTATCTCCGGCGTTGACACCCTCGGTGTCGCCGGTATAGATATCAGTTCTGTTTCTGGTCTCTCCTCCATAACGTGCGAGTGTGCTTGCTTTGGTCATATATACATATAACATAATTTGCCTTCTATTAGAATAAATGGAAAGAAAACATCTTGATGGTAATTGGGACATTGTCATGATGCGGCAATACTTGCTATCATGATAATAATGCGCATGCTCTTTCTTAGTTGTCAAAACTTTTATACAATCTTGTTGGACAAAACTCGAAAAAGTAATATACTTTATTGACCAAAATGTTACAGACAACAAACTAATCAAGGTTACTAGGTTAATCCACAGTAACCAAAAGCTTTCAGAATCGCTAACAATAGCTTCCCGACATTAATCAAAGGAGGACCTCAATTTGTCATGAAACAGAACAATATATTGATACCAAAATTGCTTACAGGGCTTCTTGAATCAGAAGACAATGAAGCTAAGCTTATGCAGTTATGCCCTGCTGTTCGTAGTTTTGGGTAAAAAGTCATATCCAGACACACTCAAGTCAGAAATTAAACCTCCTTTGACTGGGATAACAGTGTGAAAGAATCTAAACTCACTTTGGATTTGTGCATTTGAGAGGTAGAGATAAGAGGAAACATCTTTATGGTCAGTAAGTTAGTTCGATTTTTGGATGGAAATTAATCATTAACAAAACTTCCATAGGAATAACATTCCACTAAATGATGGTAATAAGGATGAGTTTTGTCAATCTCACAGTCCTCCAGATCTTGTGTATCACTTGGATTTTCTTTTTTCTTGTACTCACAAGGGCAAACAGGGAAATAAAAACAATAACCGTTTTCTTGTTTTTTTTTTTTGAAGCAAATCATAGTCTCTTCACATGACCCCAAAATCAGAAAGAAACATAATCCCGTGATACTAATATAATGAGAAACGAATGCCAGACAAAAAAAAAAGACTAGCCTGAACCAAGAACAAATGAAACATGCAATACCGTGAAAGTAAATAAATACCTTAATATAGACCCACCAAAATAATAAGGTAGTAATGAAAGTGATGGAACTTGGATGACAAGAAGAAGAAGCTACGATACGACTGAGAGTCCAAAGTTCAAAGAAAGCATGAGAATATACGAGGAAGACGGTGTTCTTGATGAACAACTCAGTGAATGAGTTGCTCTTCCTTCTCTCCCTCAACTAATCTTCTATAATGACCTTGAAAAAACTTACTTTGGAACTAGTGATAGATGGTGTATCCCATTGTCTGTCTCGAAGTGCGGCTATTTAAAATAAAGAGAGAGAAAAATGACGTTGGTACGAGAAACCATAATGGTTAATGACTTTCTTTACTTTGTTTGAGGAAAAGGGAGAAAAAAAGAGAATGGTCCTTAGTTTATGTCTCTCACTCTCACTTTTATTGCGTTGTTTGAGAGCGTTGCAGAGACAGGCACAGTGGCTGTTGTGTTGGTAGGGACACAAAATAGCCGAAAGTAAAAGAATGCAGTGCATGGCAAACCAGCCTGGCCGTCGATCGCTCACATCGTGTGCCACGTGGATCAGTTGACGGCTCCGATTGGTTCAGGCCTGAGTTGACTTATGGGCCCACTGAATCAATGTCAAACTGAGGTGAAGTGAAGGCAGGAATGCTAGGTAGCTAACAGTGTTACTCTATAAGAATGGGATTCAATCATTCATGCTTTCAATTAATCTATGTATTGTGTTATTGTTGTGACTAATAAAAAAAAAAATCGAAAACAGATTAAAAATAGTGAAATTATTTTAATTTTTCAATTCTTTCTTTTCTAAACAGTTTATGTTGGTGGGATCTCCATTTGAAAATCAATAATAAACTAAATTATTTATTACACATTTAAAACTAATTAAATAAAATTAAAATTACAATAATTGGTTTTACAAAGTGTTTCATTACCTAATATTTTCATAAAAAATGTTTAAAACGAAATACTCAACAACTTTATAATAAAAATTATGAAGACCAATTAAGTTGAACGATAAAATATCAATTAATTTAATTCATTTTTTTTGTTTAATTTAAATAAACATATAATCATTTTTCTGTTTCCCATTAAAAAAGATTAAAAACAGAGCAGGAACAAAGAGAGAAAGCTTGGAACAGTGAAAGTAACATAGTAAAAGCATGGGAAGACGGAGAATATTTGTCAGAAATTAGCCAATACCAGTTCTCCACGTGTCACCCCTGTTGGGCCTGTGTGATTCATGTTCACCGCTTCACCTTAACCCACATGATTTTGTTGCCATCATTTTGTACCACCAAACATTAAGCATGACACTAATGCCATCATGCTGTTTTATGTTTCCTCAACCATATCATATTATCTACAAAAATATCAATAAATTTATTAAAAATAAAGCACTTAACAAGATGTTTTCAATTTTTTTTTTATGTAAATAGGTTCATCAAAAGCTCACTTATTTCATATTAATTATAAAAGTTAATGTGTATGTATCAAATATTATGTCTGCAAGCACTTGATTTTAGGTCTGTTCACTTCAGCGGATGGAACTGTAGACGAAGATTGGAGCAGACGGATTTGTGATTATTTGCGTGTTCACTTTGATGATTTTGGAAGAGATGATTTGAGAGATTTACGATTTTTCTCATCTATGCTAATGAGATAAGATTTAAGGGTAATATAGTGAAAAATCATTTATACCTAAAAGAAAATGCATTGACAATTGATAGATAGCGTGAAAATTCAATCAATCAAAAAGGTTCTGAAATCTATTATAAGAAAATAGGTAATGCATTCCAAGTGATAATAGCATATAAATAACCATAAATATTAAAATAAAATAATAGTAATAAAATTATATACTTTATTACCTTCATAGTATGAATCATTTCATTCATATTGAAATAAAATAATAATAATAATAATAATAATAATAGAATTTTTAATTTTTTTTTTCTTTTTATAATAAATTTTACAATTATATAATATTAATAATTATCATTTTATATTATTTTTACTGTTAAGGATATTTTGGTAATTTTCAATTTCTATTATTAAACCATTTTTTTTATCAGTCATTTCAGTCAAATTCTACATTAATTCTTACAAACTTTACTTTCAAATTCACTCTCACTCACCTCCAAATTCACTCAAATAAACAACAAAAAAATTTACCCTCAAATCCATCCAGTCACTTTCCCCATATCATCTCCTAAAGTAAACACACTCTTAATGAAATTTACCAAGCTTCGAACTTGTTTCAATTTTTACCGGTTACTATCTTTGGGCCGGGTTTCAACCTACACGAATCCAGGCCCAACTCATAAAAAACCCAATCTTGACAATGCATTTAAGCTTCCATACTTATTTTTTTGTCTCCGACATTCTCTTTACTTAGTCAAAAGTCCATATTGGACCTTTCGTTGAACTTTCTGAATAAACTTATATTCTCTCTGTAGCATAGGAACAATATAAAAAATTCAATTGAGAATTTAAATTCGACTCATAATTCCTCTTTGTATTCTCAGTGAAAAAAAGCTTAAGTTTTATATGGATAAAAAACATTCTAAATTATTTGATTCTGGAATTTGTTGTATATAATGTAATTTGAAATCTAAATATGTTATGCATTAAATAATTTAAAAAATAAATAAATTAATTTAAAATATATTTTGAATCTGAAAAGATATTTTAAATTACATAATTCGATAATATATTCTGGATTAAGAATACACAATTTGAAAGTTATTTTACACAATTAAGAATATATTATTCCAAATTTAAAAAGTATATTTTAAGTTATACGATTTAAAACATACTTATAAATATTTTACTTGTAAATAACATGAACTGAAATATGCTCAGATTATTCAAGTGAGGAGAGTAGATGAAAAATTGAAATTTCTTCATATTCAGTAATCACATCTTATAGAATCAACCTTGACAGATATGAAATTCAATTTTTTTAATTATAATTTATTCCATATATTATGTGCAAAATAAAATTACATTTTTAAAGTTTTTTAATTAATCTAATTTAAAATTTTACGAAATTTTTGATCAAATTCCACCAACTACTAATTACACATGTTTTTTATCAACATTTATATTACATAACATGATCAAATGTTAAGTATAACATATGTTTTTTCCTTGTTGATGAGTACAAATGCAATCAGTACATATGTTTTTGTGTGAATGATCATCAAAATGAAACTCAAAGTGAGAAAGTCCTTTTTGTAGCTGGGTGGAGGTATCAAAAGTGCTATAATAATAGAGGGTCTGAGAAAGGAGACAAAATTGGAATCATTCAAAAAATGAGTGAACTTTCTAGTACATTGTTGTGATTATCCTGCTATTACAACTCTATGGGAATCTAAAATAGCCAGAATAATGCAAAATCGAAGGTTTGGTTGGTAAAACTGAGACGATAATGTTCAATATAACAAGTGAGGCAAAAGTGATGTCAAGAGAGGAAACAAGAGCACAATGACAAGAACAATGCCAAGAAGAATGGCGTAACAAGTCCATTCTCTGGAGCTCTTTTGATACTCTCTGGCTTCATGAAGTTGTTCTGTGCCTCTTCTCACAAAAGAACTTGCATGTGCGACATGACTCTCAATGTTGTTTAGTTGCTGACCTTGAGACTCTACAAGAGCTGCCATGTCCAAAAACACCTGATGCAACTCCATCAAGTTCTTCTCTATCTCCTTAACAGAATCATGTCTCTCTTGAATCTCTGATATGGTGTCCATTATCTGACCTCTACCCTGTTCTTGAATTGCCCTTTGAAGAAAACTTTCACTTTCACCGCTTGATATCAAGTTCTCAATGGTATCTTCATCGGCCTTCTCTCCTGTTATGGTGAAGTACCTACGTTCCACGGTTTCCTTGTACTCGTTTTGCATTCTTGCTCTCAGTCCTTGAAAATCGTCCATCATGTCCTTCAATTTCTTCCCTAAGCCACTGACCACTGAGGTTCTTGTTCGATCTGTTGAGGAACCCGGACCACATCCTGGGAGGTTTCTATTGGCTGCATTTGAACGTTCCAAAGCTTCAAGCTTGCCCTTTATCATTTTGACGCGTTTGAGAACCTGTTGAACATCTTGATCCATTTTTGCTCGAAGATCTTTCATGGTTTTAGCGTTATGAACGATCTTGCTCTCTTCATTGGACTCTTGCAATTTTCTATACAACTTCTCCACTGATCTCATGTCTTCCTTCACATTCTCCACCTCATCAAAGAACTTATCCAGGTTCACATTTTCCTTTCCAGCCTCCACGTCATACATTTGAGACTCATTGTTCATGTCACTGTATTTTTTAAAGGAGCTTGAAAATAGGTCATTCATTTTGAAGAACAACAATGACTACCAACAACTCTTGTTTTCTATTTATTTATTTTTTTATTTTCTTTTTGTTAATTGATTTCTAATGTTGTTGGAAAATCAAGTAACAAAAAGATCTAACACGGTGATTGGTGTTTGTTCCCTTTTCTTTGTCCCTTTGAGAATCCTCCTATGGATTATGATCAGTTTTACGAACAGGGAGGAAACCGAAGGTGACAAAGGACAAAGGGAACCGATTGTCCTCAGCAAAAGTGTTTGGAACACAAGGTCCTTTTTTCTACTCGGGATGAAGGTATTAGGGGTGCATGGTTAATGTGAAACCAGGACCAACCAAATTAACCTGATGCTAATCATAGAAAGGAAATATACCAAAGGTTAATTACACTTGTATATTAACAAGTGGCAATGCGGTTTTTTCTGATAATATTTTATTTTCTCCCTTCAACTCACCCATTTTGGTATTTTGTTTTGTGGACTATTTTTTAGTTCAAATTTAAATTTTTCTCTAAACTTGAAAATAGTAAACAATATATAAGACGTAGAGAACTAGCACTGTTAGACTTTGCAACAACAACATCATATTTCTCTGTCAAAGGGGGACTTGCATCAATATTTTTCTTTTTACATAAAATATTACTTTAATCTGACGTTAAAGAACTGAGAGAACTATTTAAATTGTTGTCTAAGCATATTCAACTTCTTCCTCGATGGCATCGCCAAGCCAATGATGTAAATAATTATAACATCTAATTCATAATAATTGTATGTTGATCATCTACTATTAGAAAAAAATAATTATAAATCAAACAGATCGTCTGGAGAAGACTTTTTAACTGCAGACTAATCATATTCAGACATTGTAGTCTAAAATTTAATCATATTCAGACAATGTTAGCTTCATAGTTAAGAACTACAACCTAAATTGCTATCATGTTTTGAAAAGTGTAAATATATTTTAATTAAAATATGAAATCTAAAGCAAAGTACTAAATTGAGAGATAAAAAATCTCCAGCGAATTGAAATGGTTGCTTGCTGAAAACTAGTAAAATAATGGTCCCAAATTCGAATCATGAGAAACAGCGCACAGATACTAGAAAGCATAAACATGTTACAGGCTAAGAATAAATTGGGAGAATAAATTGGGAGAACAAATTAGGCATAGTTACATTTCCAACGTTGTTGAAATCAGGTGGCACGGTGAGCTCTCGAAAGAAACTAAACAGCTTCAACCCACTACCCCAATTCAGCTGCATTTCATAGTTTTCCATTTCCTACACAAACCACTAAGATGCCCACTTATATTACCTGAAATATATTGGTTTCTCACCATTTTTTTCCTACCCCTCTTTATGTACAAACATGAAAAAGCAAGAAGCCGAAGTGGATAAAATGTACAGCAAAATCTTTCCCCACTTCAATATAGCTTTGCAAGAACTTATCAATATGGCCGGAGCCAATATGATTTTCACACATTCATAGACAAAGATTGAGCATGTTCCTTATCAGTACTATGACTACTACTGCCATGGGTAACACCATTGCTAAGTTTATCTTCCCTCATTGCATCTCCTACCAGCTGTGACTGACTGCCAGCAGAATCTCCAGTACCCGAGTTCACAGTCTGCTGCTTCAGATACCTCTCAGTAGCATCATGGAGCAACTTCATCATGCCACCAGAATCTGAACCAGGGGACAATTCTTCTTCTCGCTCTGGCTGGATATTGAGGTCAATTTGGCCTTTGAATGGTGAAGCAGATGATTTTATTCTGTTAGGATCATCATCAGAACCATCATTACCCTCTTTGTTCTGGTTCGGGCTACTGTCACCTGTGTTACTACAGGGTAATGAATCTTCGTCATGCAAAATTTCAGACGAAGGTAGTGGTTGAGAATGTTGTTGCTGTTGCTTTTTACGAGTTGTCTCTGCTTCTTTTTCTGTTTGTTTCTTCTCGCGTCGTAACATAAGGGTACGGAAACGTCGCTTCACTGTTAAGCATACATTACACGTACATGTCTGCTTATGCTTGGGGCCCTTTCCACTGGGAGGTTGAATGCAAACGATGCAAGAACAGCCAGGTCTATGGCGCGGGTGCTTAGTTGTGGCCTGGGCGGATGCTGGGAGTGCTTCACCCTCTCCCAGGATAGCTAAATTTGCGAGGGTGTCGAGTCCCTCCAAAGCTTCAGCATTATCAGGATCCTGTTTGGCGGCTTTCATTTTCTTGGGAACAGCTGCCAAACAAATGCATTTAACAACATAGTTTTCATACTCTAAATGTATAAGTTCGTTCTACAAAAGATTACATCATACGTGACAGGGAATCTGAAACATTTGCTCAAGTGAAGCGATCAAACAATTCAAACCTGAATTACAAGGAGGTAGCAAATTCTCAAGTTGCTCTGCTGTCAGCTCTGGTGCAGCTGAACAAGAAGATCTAGCAGCACAGAGAATTTAATAAATAAAAAATAGTGCTCTGATATATTGGATACATGGTGATAGAGGTTTATAAAGTTTGGGTAAATGATTTAGCGGGACACCCTTGTTAGATTGATAAATTAATCACGCACTTGTGCAAGTGAACGTGAACTAAGTCGAGGGAAGAGGGTGGAAATTAACGTTGTATCTTGGCACGATACATGGTATGGCAGTGTTAATGTTTCAACCTCTTTCTCACTTCTTATATTTTCTCTCTCCAGCCAACCATGTCCTAAGGCAAAGGATGCTAGGTGTTGTATAATAAATTAAAATAGATAAATACATAACCTACCTAATTTGTTTGGATGATATGATGGAAAGGGAGAGAATGAAAAAGGAAAAAAAAAATGAGCGGAAATGAAAGTGGTTTACATTAGAATAAATAAAGAGAAATGAGAAGAAAGTATTTTATTATAATATTATTTTATATGATTTTTATTCTTTATATTATTATTATTTTACTCACTTATCATATTTCTGAAATTGAAAAATAAAAATAAAATAACCACGTACTCATTTATATCACCCCCATAATCGACAGGGTTGATTTTAACGTGACATATAATAAATTTGTATGAAAAAAAATTCACTTTCCCTCTGATTTCCCTTCGTTTGCATCTCAGAAAGTCAGGGTGCAAAGATGAAAAGAGAAAGTGAGGTGTACCCCATGTGAACGATGCTAGTCATAGCATTTTCACTTGAAATCGAAATAAATATCATGAAAGGATGTACATGTTAGCCAGATGTCTCTTAGGTTCAGATAGACACCCTCTTAAAAGATCACAGATCACTCTCGGCTAAAATATGACATGCATTCTTATTCACTCAGGAACGCTAATGAATTTCTTCTGCGTATTTACAGCTCAGAAAAAATGCAAATGATAACACAGGAGACCAAACACGCCAATGAGAATTAAGACAATGGATCACTCTTGTTACCTTTCTGGATCCCATGAATTATCAGCACACGTCCATTTTGATGGAAGAAGCGCACTTGCTGGTAATTTACGCCACTTGAGACAATCTTCGCATTGAGCCCACTGGATCTTTTCACTGAGACAAATACAGATCATTGCTGGCAATTAATTACGAGGTTAAATAAAGTAAAAATATCATCCAGTCTAAATGCGAAATTAAAGTGTTTTTTTGGATCTTAATGACGACATGCAAAACAATAAAATATATACATATCATCCCCCTCATGTTTGAGCATTATATCAAGATAAAATGAAATGTGAGGATGAGGAGTACTCTTGGAGTAACTTAATCCATCCTCTCTCTCCCTCTCTCTATATATGTAAAGGATATATCAACTGCTATGTAAATATATAAAAGAAGGTGACCAAATCTAATTAAGGATAAGTGATTTACCCCACATTATCACTGGTAAAAATTGTTGGCTTCCCAAGCACTGGAGCTTCCTGTAAAATTATTTTCAGCATGAAGGTTTCCACAATACATAATAATTTCCAGAACTCCTTCAATCAAATAAAGCACCAAGAAAGATGACCATAAGGTAGACACTAAAATTCCAATCCAACATTGGATGCACTACTCTAGAGACTGTGACGTCAGCTTTTAAGCCTGAGATGTGTTTAGTTGAAATGTGTTTAGCTTACGCAATCCCCAACTAAGAACAGTTGAGAATCATTAGTCTCCCCTTTTCCATTTCTTTTCAACCAGTGACTATTGAACTTCAGTATTTCTACTCCCAGATCCAATAATATACATTGAATTGACTATATTTCAAATAAGATTACACAATGGATAAACTATATTGCCTGCAGATGGACAAGTCAGAACTATCATTTTGTTGGTTTGTGCGACTATTTTGAAAATGAAAATGTATTATCATTTTTTATTGAAGTATAAAGCATCAAATGAGAGGATCTAAGTCATTACATCCCAAAAAGTATAAAAACATCAGCAATCCATAACACTTCCCGATATGAAGAGGGAATAATGGTACCTCGTATTCCTCAAATTCAAAACCTTCAATCACAACGATGCTCGGAATGTGGCTAGGAGGGGGCCGGAGCAGACCTTGAGCTTCTTGCCACGTAATCTTCAGCTCTATTAAATCCTCATTTTCAATTCTTAGACGTTTACTTTTTGAGCCCAATATGCCACTTTTTCTTTTTCTAGATATTAATGATTTGCTCCCCAGTGCTTCTTTTGCTATGTATCCTGACTTGTCAACTTTAGACCATGAATTGGGATCAGCCAATTCAACCTAAATGTATGGTGAAAAATGCAACCATGAGAATAATGTAAATGGCAATCTTTGGCAATTACAACGTAGTTAGTTGTTTAATACTAACTTCACCATGTGCAGAAAATCCATTTCCAGACTTATTAGTTTCATTGTCCTGCAAAAAGAAATATATGCACACTACATATGTAAATTGTAAATATACAAGTTCAAAATTTCATCAAACTAGGTAAATATAGAGGATTTGATATAAATACAAAATATGCAAACAAAAAATAACATTATTAGTTCAATTAATAAATTGTCCTTTATAAGAAAATATCCATGACTATAGTAACCTATGCTGACTTCAGGCCGGCAATCAGACAATATACAAAATTGAAGTACAATTATAGAGTACAGCGTTATAGAACCTTCGGACTGTATTCAAAAGATCTTAACTAAGGAAAGTGAAGAATTTGTACATGTCTCCCAACTAATGTAGCATGTATAATTATCCATACAAGCATTAGAGTTAACGATAGATCTAGTAGACAAAGCTTCAATCAATTGTATGACTTAGACTAAAACACATAACTACACCTCAGAAAATTATACATTGCGGCTGTTAAAACAATTACCTGGTCGGATGGCACAGCACTCGAAGCCTTTCTAAATCCCATAACCAACCTTCCCTCTGGCTCCAAACGGCTAAATGTTACTGAGAAAAACAACTCAGGTCAGCCCTAAAACTAGAACTCAACTGGATGGTGGTACAACAATCAGAAATGCGAGAAAAAAAAAAACTACATAAGATTTAAAGACAGATGGATCCAATACGGATTGCACAAGGCAAGATCTTGAAGCATAATAATATAGAAGTCCTGAATGCAAGCGTAAGAAATATGGCCAGCTTTACCAGGCAAATTAAACACAGAATAAAGTTTAATAAAACCAAAATCCTTTGAATTGAATAAAATAGCATCATGTTCAGTTGTGAGAGATATTTAAGCCGGGATGTTGGAGATATTTAAGAACATCTTTAGATTGTATTGAAATATCTTTCTTCTTTCTTGATTATTTCTTTACGTAGGGCCTGCTTTTGTACCCTTTTTTCGAAAGAAAATGTTTTCAATTACAAGATTATGCAAGCTTTTTTGTGGAAATAACCGTTTCTACTACTTTTTATCAAATTTTCAAATTTCTGCTTATGAAAAATAGCTCTATAAATGTAGTATATAAATCACTATTTTTTTCTAGCTTAAATAAAGTAAATTCTTGACTAGGTAGTTAGCCATAAGGTGCCAGTGGGTCAGGATGAGCAAAGAGGTACTGTTAAAACTTATCCACAGGTTTTTTTATATTCACAGATATCCATTAATATTTTCAAAAATTTAAAGAAAATATAAAACAAAAATTAATTGACAATTCTTTTGCAAGATTTAGACTCCCAATCGTGGCACATACCTCTATGAATTTAGTTTAATTATTCTCTCAATTCTTCTAAAAATACTGTTTAAAGATCCGCAGATTTACATTCTTTTTCTCCCATAAACAATGCACAAGATTTGTAATACTCTTTAAAAGAATAAAATAATTCAAACTATTTAAAAAATTCTCCTTCTAAAATATAAATTCAAATACGGCAACATCACATCAAGGCTTAAGTTCTCAGTAAGCCAAATATATCAATAAAAGCGCACTTAAATAAATCAAAGTTGGTGGGTCGGACATCTACAGGTACCGGTAGTAAGATATCCATCTCCTTCCCGGGTAGAGAAAAAACTATTCCGATTAGTAGTACATGACCTAACTATTAGTACATTTCAATAATCTATTCCATGATATTATTTGTCATCTTTGTCTCTCTTATTTTTCTTTCTCAACACTTAACCCATAATTCCTAACAATGGGCACGGAGAGGTTCGTGCAAATATAATTCATGAGACTAAAGTTTCACTTAAAGGGAAATGAACAAGAAGAAAATTCTATCTATCTATCTATATATATATATATATATTCCAATACGCAAATCACCTTTGTGACAATGTCTTACCAGTGTCACCAGCCTGTAACTGCATGGACTGTATGCATGGAGTGACACCCTCTAAAACATACATTCTGCTGTTATTGTTTGGCCAGAAGCGAAATTGAAATATCCATTCCTTTCCCTTTGCATCAAGGATTTTAAGCGGCAATCCTTCAGGCTGAGAAATTGGTGGGAAGTAGGTCTGTCTCATGGAACAGAATACAATGTTATATAACCCTTGATAGAATATTCATTAAAAAACATATAGATGACAATGCCAATAAGAAATAATTACTACGGCCAATACAAAGAAGCAATTTCACACCTTCAGTAAAATCCAAAATGATACAGACGACTAACTATTCTGCAGTTAATGAAACTATAATCGACCAACATCGAGTACTTAAAGAGTGCATAAAATTATATTATTTATCATGGAGACATTTGAATAATAAGTACATTTAACAATATACAGATTTTTAACATGCTTCTGAAAAAGCCTATTCTTGATATTCATAAAATTTAAAAAGGGCAGCTAGGAAGCTAAGGAAAAACAAGGTAAACCCGAAGCCTTTTCATCATTCAAATCCCAAACACTTATCTAGAATTCTCAAAATGACCGGAAGTCCCCTACCCTGACATTTTGAGGACTACAAAATCCTTTTGACAGAATTGATATAACTATCAGTGATTCAGTGACCTTTCTTCCAGCTCCATCTACTTAATCATACTATTCATTCATACTGTTCTTGATCACAAGTATGCAGCTCACGCTTCTAGTTTACTATATGCATTCCAGAGAAACATAAGCAAAGATAATATTATTACAACTAACAGTCAAAAGGAAACAATAAAATTATGGTATTAAAGTATCCCAAAGGACAAACGGTCAATTGTCAATTATCATAACTTCTAAACTAAAACTTCAGTTTACAGCGAACATAAAGCATCTATGGAACTTAAACCAAAAATACTATCCCATGAGAAGCTTGAAGAATCTCAAGACCAACCTCAGCACACTTTTTGGGTAGGACTAAACGCCCAATTCGTCCAGCATCACTTGCACTCAAGGTTTTCTGAAACAAGGGAGTAATTACAGAATTTGAACTGTGATGGAGTTAAGATATTGTAGCTTCAAGTATGGCATTAGAAATAATTGGAAATCAAAGAGCATTAAAATAGTTATTATCAAAACCAACAGCACAATTATGTGATTTGAAGGATACTCTATGGATATTTGTTGTAGTTCAAGATCAGTACATCTGGGCCAGTACCGTGGCAGCAACTGGTTTCTTCCTCGGGCATCTGCTCGCGGTCGCCCATTGCGAACCTGAGCCTCACCTGATGAGTCAGGTGCTAAATGCATAGTGCCATTAAAATGCTTTCCTGGAGGTGGTGGAGTTTGTTGAGGGTGACTTCCAGTTACCCCAAGCTGGCCATTTCTTTCATTTTGGCATGAATTAGGCACCGGCAAACCAAATGGTTGAGTCGATGACTCTTCCTTCAGAGAAGAAGGCTGCTGACACATATTTAAACATGAACTTGCTTTGTCCTCATTCCTCATTCCTGAAATATAATGAAGAATCAGGTTATACATCATACTTCAAGTTATTAAGAGATCATTCCACCTTCTAAACCAGATAACAGAAACGCAAGAAAGTTCAGAGAATGTCAAAGCTTGCATTACCATTCATAAGCTTCATCTCCCGTGGGCAAATTGTAACATTCCAATGAACTGGTAATCCAGTATAATCCTCGCTTTTCTTTTCCAAGGCTGAGGCAGGTAACCTTTCATTGCAATACATTTTGTCAAAGCTATTGGATAATTCAGCTAAAGAAGGCACATCTGGTATCAGGTCAGTCGAAGAAGCAGAATTGAACAGACTGGGCGCTTGCTTCCAGGGTACAGGACCTGATCCAGCCAACTGATTCCAACCTTTAGCAGATAGATCTCTAAGTCTATCAGATAAACGATTTTGAAGGGAAAAAGATTGTGGCCACGGCAGGTTAGAAGGCTGAGAAACAGATAACAAAATAGAGTCACTATGGCAAAACTGTTTCATTCAATGATCCAAACAGGACATAAAAATAAGATATTGTCTAAGCATCATGATTCAGCAATCAATTCAACTCGATTGCTCACCATGGAGTTTAAGATTTAAAGGAATAAGGTAGTAGTAACAAGAGGAAATTAGTAACTAAGAGAGGACATGTGTAAACCCTGAGTAGAAAAATAAAGGCAAACCCTTACTGCTGGTTCCATATTCATAAAGTTAGATATCCCAAATTAAAAAAAAAAAAACAAACAAACAAACAAAACCAAGAGAGGTAACCCAAAAAAGATGTGGAAAGAAAGAGAGGAAATGGAAAGACAGGACAAACTAATACAGAAGTGTCAAAAAATGTCTCAACAATATATAGTAGGCTTGTCTGGCCATAATTTAATAGGAAGAGCAGCAAAGGAAAATTGAAGTAATTATCTAAAACTGGCATTCCTTATAATTGATTCCATGGACTTTTTTTATGTGATTATAAATGCCAAATTAAAATAAGAACTCCAGCCTCAATATCTTTCAATTTCGTCACACACTTCTTGATGAACTGGTCCTTCTCAGATTTACTTTGAAACAACATATAATATTTCAACCAAGAATCTTCACCTTATTTGTCCGTTGACAATGAAATGACAACTTCAATAGTTCGTTTTGCCATAAACGCAAAAACAAAGAGGGCATGAATAAAACACACAGGACACTCATACATGTTATACGAAGCACTAAAAATCAAGCCCAAACAGGAGAGGGAAACACTAAAGTCCGTTCAATAAAGAAACTTACCATAATAATATTTTTGCGGGCACATGCATAACATTCGATCCCTCCGGGATCCAGCAACATGAAGGAATGACTTGAAACAATACATCCACAATGAACTCTCTGCAAAGAACGATTAATCATCAGTTAAAACTACATAATTCAAACTTGGTCATGGGAATCAGTGTAAAACCCTTTGCCTCAAACATAGTAACAGGAACACCATAAAGCATTCAAGCAACAGTAATCATCAATTAAGATTACATGATCCAAACTCAGCTTTGGAAACCTATGTAACATCCTTTGCATTGAACATAGTAACAGTAACAGTAACATTTATAAAGCAATTCAAACAACCATAAAAAAGACTTGGCTCACCTTTCTACAAGTCTCACAACTCCTCCAACCAGAAGCATTTGAGTGGAAAATTTCACAGAACCTCCCTTCTTCAAAAGCAGAGCTAAGTATCACAGAACAACCAAATTTTACAAAATGAATAGCACATGTGCATCATGCACGAGGACAATATCAAAACATATGATAAGTAACAGGCAAGATTATTTACATATAGCCAACTAAATTCTTGTACACGTCATTTCCCATCGAGCACAAAAGACAAATTAAGTTATATATGATCGCTCTTTCTACCATAAAGAAAGAGTGAAAACAAATGTTTATGCAATCAGAAAGGTCAACCTCCGCTATTGAACCTATTAAAACCTCTTATGGCAGCAATAACCTATTAAAACCTCTTTTAACCAGATAACACATTGGATGCACATCACCTATGTGGTTTGTGCACAAACCGAGCACAGTAATAAAAATACAAATAATTTAGAGAATCACATTAACTAAAAATAATTTGGGATGAACAGTGCAGAATCTGATTGAAGATAAGCATTCAGACAGAATAAGTTAATCACGTTAACAACAGATACAAAACAGCTTTTTAAATGAATATGGAAAACAATATGTCGGAGCCACCCTAATAGAAGGGGAAGAAAATGCTCAACTCAAACTAAGCATTCGAAAAGTACACAAAAAATGGAAAAGAGAAATATTCATATAGAGAATAATGACTTCAAAAACCATCACTTGAAAAAACAAGGAATAACCTCGATCACTGAACATCTACTGAAGCAACAGAAAAGAAAGAAGTGATTCATTAGTAAGGAGATCTAAAACTATCGAAGAAAAAAGGAATATCCATCTAATATTAAACTTTAGTTCAATGAGACCAATCCTAATATCTCTCACTTAGTGTAATCCCCGATCCCTACTACAATGAGAACTATTTTTTTTTTTAAATAAATGTTGCCTAAAACACAAATAGGTAATAGTTTATTTAACTTCTCTCCCTCTCTTTAGAAGAGACAATTTCTCCATGCTAAAATGCAGATTAAGTAATAGCACTTAACTTACAGCAAATAGCACATCGCATAGTGCTTTGAAAAATATAACATAAATTTAAATACTTTTGGTATATTTAATATAATTCAAAATGACAATGACGAGTAAATAAACTACCAATGTATAAACTCTCAATGAAAAAAGTATTCATACAACTCCAGAATAATCAAATTCTAAATGACTAACTATAAAACCTAACATTAAACATTTTAAATAATATAATTACCATTCATCGATAAAAGTATGAGTATCAAAGTATCAACTTTAAATGATTTCAACTTCTTGGCATAGACCTTCATTGACTACAAACAACCCACAATGTTCCTGCTAGGTACAATTGGTCACACGGAGCAATCATCACTATCGAGCTCTACCAAAAACCAAATTTAAGTAAAACAATTTAAAGCAAGGCACATTTTAAAAGTTTCTATTCTCTAGATTTCTTAGGTCCTCCACCAGCCCTTTAATCAGACCACCTCTCATTTGATCGACTGTCTCGTCGGAGACTCTACCGGTCTCCTTATCAATGGACCAAGTCACCAAGCCACGTTTCCATTATCGTCTCCTCAACAAGTGCATATGGTCAACATAGAAAGAAAAAACACCAGAACTAAGAAACTTTTCAAAGTACAGTAGTACACTTATAGGCTAGCACGAAGACCAGTTGCATGTGCCATATCCCAGTATCAATAACTACGTCAACAATGTCCACACTAAACAAATACACTTAGCACAGGAGCTCATACAAAATTTCTGTTCTGGATGAAACAGCGACAAGAAACGGCTAGGAATTCATAACTACATAACCTTAAAAGCACCAATCCCGTCGCTATGCCTAACTTAGTTCCAAACTTGAAACACAACAGAATTAGATAAGAACCAATTACATCTCCGACAGCAATAACTCTATGAAGTAGTGAAATCAAAGAGGTGCGTTGAACCCATACCACCAAATCCCCAAAGACAAAGAGAGAGACGTCTGTCATTTACTTCAAAATCGTCGTAAGTCTATCTCTTCCGTTTAAAAAAAAATAGACTGATTCACATCACAAACCTAATTACCTAATACCCTCCAAAAAAATAATGTCTTTTTTTTAAAACAACATAATAAAGCAGTAAACTTTATCCAAATTTGCAGGAGGAATGCCTAAACCTAGAAACCTCAGCTAACTAATAATAATCCCAATCTCTTTAACTACTGCCACGTGTACCTTGCTCCAAAATCCAAATTCAAAAAATAAACAGAAACACAGAAATGAAAAGTTTTTAATTTTTTTAATATAAAAGAAGCAAGAAATAGGAATTTTGGTTTTGTAAAAAAGTTCAAATAGAACACTGTGTGAGTCAACAAAATAGTGAAACGGTAAAATTACTAACCCGCATCGATCGCAGAGCTCGGCTAGTTCTCCGCTACGGAGCCTCCACCCTTTCTTAGGTCTTTCGGGCCTCAATTCTTTGCAGTCAGAATTGAAGCACAGTTTGGTCGAAGAAGAAGCCGAAGCCATAGCGGCTCTGAACCCCACCGAATCCACAACCGCAACGGTTTGCGCGGCCTGATCTGCAATCAGCGAGAGAAAGAGAGGAAGGAGAGAGAAAAAGAAGAGGGTTTTAGAGAGAGAAAGCAGAGAAGAAGGACCAGTGAGTGTTTTGTAAGTGAGAGAAAGTGTGAAAACGGGGTTTTTAAAAAAAGTAGTAGTTGTTGTACCACTACTGTTCATTCGGCGTCGTCGTTTCTCTCTCCCTCCCTTTCATAACTTTTCCTTCTCTCCTCCTTTTTTCCCTCTTCCACGGACAAAATGGGAAATTTTCGCATATCATTGCTTACCCTCTCTCTTCTAAACTATATATATTTTTTAAAATTTCAAATCAAACTGAATCATATATAAAAAATTTATTAATCTTTTAAAAAATGGTTATAAATGTTTTTGTTTCTTCTTATTATTATTATTACTGTTATCATATTATTTCATTCCATAAAAAACACTACTCTGCCACCAGTCTCTCCTTGATGTGGGTTAGCCTTGTCCGTTTTCACATTAAAGAAGAAAACAACCGATGAGGGTCTCATTTAATAAAATAATAATAAACTGAGAGTTATTTAAACGTTACGTAATAATAATAATAATAATATACCATATACTTTATGTTATAGTATTTATGATTTACATTTACATAAGATAATGTCTTGGTGATTCCAAAAATGGAAGCACACATTGCAATTGTTGATAACAAAGAACCTGGTTGAACTATAAACTATAATGGGTAAAATTGGAATGTGAGGTGTAAAAATTGGTGATGGGGTTGTTATTGTGTATAGATAAAGAAAAGAGTGAAACATAGACGGAGCAAACACGACAAGGGCAGATCGGTAATTGTAGGGGGTTTGACTGGTGCCGGACGCGTTGGAATCGAAGTTAAGGAATGAGGATAATGCAAGCACGTGAAAGGAATGGAGGGAGCGCGTGGAGTCAAGCTCTCACGCGCTGCGCCTGGGATTGTTAAGTTACAATATCCAATTATCTTGCATGGCCCGCTACCTCACGCTACGCAATCACGTAATTCGTAACTCCAACACCTATTTCCACTTCTATCTTGTTTGGGGCACGCGCTTTTTCGTTTTTAAGTTTCACATTATATTTCGAAGAACTTTAGAAAATTGTCTTTTTATTTTTGTAATCAGTTTAATGTAACGTCGTGTTTGGAGAATTTTCTTGAAGGGTTTTTTTTTTTTATTACAAATTAAAACGAGTATATACATAAATTAAAAACAAACATTTTGAAATAAATAATTCTTAAAAATATACGCCTCATTAATCAGGTTCGGTGATTAAATTTAATTTATTAAATTTAAAATAAATAAAAAAAGGCTCTTCTCAATTGGATATAGTCATAAATGTGTGTCCATTAGGAGATGTGTAATCAGTTGAAAGATAATAAGACTTAAATATACGAAGACCAAGAATTCAAAATAAAGTAAGTGGGAAGATAACACAGTTCACTGGAAGGACAAATGAGATTTAGAAATAACATTGAGACTAATGAATAATTTGACTTGGAAAATATTAAAGAATAAAAAGATTATATTTAAAATTAAAAGCAGTACTTCTAGGGAAGTTTGGAGATGAATTAGGTATAGTTATATTTACGGATGAAGAATTATGAGAATTGATGCATGAAACCAAACTTCCCAACCATGCAAGTCAGTACTCTGCACATTTCTTGATTTTCATAAATAGAATGCATAATTTAGTGGGTATTTATAAAATTTGTGCACGTTAAGATTAAGACAACCCGTGTTCCATGCTAGAAGAGGTAGTTTGGGAGCAATGGATGTTCCAACAAGATGCATGCATTGAAGATGAAAATGACAAGGCCAACAACCAATTTGACAGGGGTTGGAAAATTCCATAGTCATCCTTAATTATCGCTGGAGATGAAAAAGGACAAGAAACAGTTTTTCATTTTTGGTCTGATCATATGATAAACACTATAGTGTGAGAGACAAGTTGTTGCACAAAAGAGATTACAAACCAATCTCGACCACATCTAAGCATCTACGTTTCATGTGGCAACGACGTTGTTTTCCTCGTTGCTTGTTTCCTCCGAAAAACCAACACGTTTGCATAGTACTCGAACTCAAGGGATTATTGCAACCATTCAATCCATAGATTAATTCTAGGTTAATTCAAATTTTGTTCCAGCCATAACTAGGCACCAGTTTCAAAAATGAAAGGTTTTCGTAACTAAAGGATGCACGTAGAATTTTTTTTCTTTTTTTTTTCTCTTTTCTATGCTAAGTTGATTAGAAAAACAAAGAGTGCGAGACCAATCCAAAATTTGTTCTCTAATATGATGGATAAGCATTGATCAATTATTAATAATTAATTACCTATTATAACGAGTGAGTTTGTTTGTAACTTTTTTATTATTTGTTATTATACTTATGGGACGAGAGTAAATTATAAGATCAAATATATAATATAAATTTTTTCTTGTATATAATGATACTGTATACAAATATTATGGCGACAATATCAAGATTTGAGTATATGTATATCGAGTGTATTATATATATGTCTAAATATATAATAATTATTTGTGTTTATATGTATTTTACTCTTATGGTATAATAAAATATCATGGTCTAACCAATTACATATTGGTAAAGACAACTTACATGACAAGCGCATAAGATTAAGGCATCATAAACATAATTGATTAACTAATGACTAATCAAGTAAATTAATTATATATATAATGCTCATTTAGACCCTCTTCTCAATCTTAAAAAGATGTGCACCTAAAACATCTATGCTTAAAAACACGAAATTTGAAGCATTTTCTCTCTATCTAAAACTACTTCTAAATCTTGAAATATATCGATCTTAGTATCTGTCATTCCATTTATTTATTTATTTATATTTTGAATCTCAATTGACTAAAATACTTCCCGTACTTTTATTCATCCATGAAAATATCACTTATAAAATATCCTATTACTCTTCCTAATTTACAAAAAATATCACTATGAAAATACTTATTATTATGTATTAATATTATTGTTATTATTATGTATTATTATTACTATTATTATTATTATTATTAAAATTATTATTATTATTATTATTATTATTATATTAGTAGTATTATTTTATTACCGTTATTACTATTATTATCATTACTACATTATATGTTATTATTGTTAATATTATATATTATTAGTATTAGTATTATTATTGTATTATTACTATTAATAATATAATTATTAATATTATTAGTATTATTGTTATTATTGTTATTATATATTATTGCTATTATTGGTAATATTATATGTTATTATTAGTCGTGAAATTATCAATGTTATGTTATTATTAATATTTTAGTATTTGTATTGTTATTATTAATTTTGTTAATATTGTTATTCTTAGTATTAATATTACACATTTTTTATTATTAGTATTACTATGATTATATTTTAATATTAAATTTATATTGTTATTTTTTACGGGATTATGTTTTACAACATTTTTATATTTTTACTTTATCAACACTTTTGATTGTATATATTTCTCTGTCCCATATATCCATATGTTTCTATTTACAAATTTTCGTATTATTTTTATTTTACTCGGAATCGTTCATGAGTGTTAATAAAAAAGCATTTATTTAATATGGTTAATCTTTTTATATATTTTGTTCACTAAAATTAATTATCATCTGGCATATATTGTTAATGAGTCTGTCGATGAAAGATCATTAGAAAGAAACATTACTGATAAACTATAAATTCAACTTACATACACATAATTAACATAATCTCCAAACCACAAGATGAATTTTACATGTCTTTTTCATTCTACAATACTCTACTTTTTCATTTATAATTGATATGTAATGACATTTGGATTACCAAATCATATTATTATATAAAGTAGTTTTTGTACATTTATTTTTCTCTCTTGAGAGTATTGAAGTATGATTTTTCCGTAAGGATATTACCATGCTAGGTAATCAAAGACAAAATAAGACAAACGAAATTAATTAAGCAATAAACCCTTATCTTTTGGTTTATCTCTCAAGAGGATTAGACTTGCCGACTAATCTTACTATAAGTATGCTACTTTATATACTATCTTCATCTTCTTTAGGTATCATTCTTCTATATTAGTGGTTGCGTAAAAATATGATTTTTTTTATCATTAGCTTTTGTAATGTTATGTGATTAGTTCATAACTCTACGTGGGCACATTAATTTTCACTGAATTTATATATTACTATTTGACTTTGACAGGAACATTTATAATGACATATTTGATGTCATAGATTTTATATTAATGTTATCTTATTTGCAATGATACTCTCAACTAGTAACATCATATACGACAAAAAAAACTTTAGGTTTAATTTTCACATATGAATACTCAATTGACCATGATTAAGGCATGCCACATATGTCCAACCTAGTAATGTTATAGCTTTTGAAAGGTGTGAGTGAGTGTTTTTAAAGTATTGGATAATAAAATGATGGTTATGGATATTAGAAAAATTTAATTTAAAGTAATTGAGAATATTAAAAATGTGCCAATGCTTCTTAACACTATTTCTTAAAAGTATCTGTTGGGAAAAGCAGTGAGTTAACCTAAGATGCAGTGATTGATTTTTGATATTTGAAAGTTAAAACATTGTTTTTTAATTAATATAAAATATAAATTTAATTGACTCTTGAGCATGACTATTTTACTGTGAAATTGTGATTGTAATTATATTATATCTGTTAACAATTAATATGTAAAAATATTTCTATTGCAGGGTCACAATAGTATGACGTTAGTATGGTGAAATCTCAATATTAAAGGATATGTCACAAAATTCATTATAGTTAATGTAAATAAAAACATGTTTTTTCTACTAGTAGTCAAATGACGAGTCTTATTATATTCTTATATTAAAGTATAAATTATAAAAGAATCTTAAGGTAATACTATGCAATGAAAACCATGAGATAAAAAAAAATTACAATTAAAATGTCAAATGTCTTAAATTCTTTTTTATAATGTTTTTTGAGTTGAATGATTATTTATAGAACAATATTCAACGAAATTGTTTTAAAACTGCAACAGCACAGATTATAGAAGTTTAATTTTATTGGCAGAATCAATTTTAAAAGAATAAACTACATTAAACCCTTTTTTTTTTGTTTCAGGGGATTTTTTTAGTTATTAAAATATGCACGATTTCAGAATACGTTTACTTAAAATATGCTATACATGTGATAATGAGTTAAAGAAAGAAAAACATATATAAATTATCTTTCATTTTAACAGGTAAAGA